ACGCCAAGTCTGACCTGGAGTTAAATATTCACTTTCTGTCTGTTTTGCTGCTCAGCTGTGGAATTTTGCACAAGATCCTCCATTGTAGCCTTTTACAAGACCTCAACAATCTAATTTATTCATTTTTTCTTTTACACAAACAGTGACCATTTTCTTGTAAGGAGAAAGAGTTTTGCGAATTGCGTGATACATATGCTCCATTTCCTGAAATTCCACATTGTTCACCTGTATTTGCATATTTGCTAGCATTTCTAAACATAGAAATTTCAAGCCTCTTTGTATTTGATTATATTATAGTCAAGTATTGGAAAATGATGATTAGGAGTGTGCATTCTGTAATATGCTACTATGTTCCTCTCATAATAGCTATACCACTTATGTGGATGATTCTTCTGCGCAAAGAATAGCAGGTTCTAATGAGTTTAGATTGGTCACTTCTCTTTCTGCTAAAGTAAGTCCTTGGGTCAAGTATTTTTCTTCTTGTCCTTATTCTGAGAGCATTCTGAACACTGTTGGGAATGCATTAACCTTTCAACTGCAAGCAAATTGAATGACTCACCTCTCCACATGTTGTGTTGAACCAGAAACTCATGCATTGTGACATTAAAGACAATGTCAATATTTCAGTAATAAAGATACACACATATTAAGAATAGCTTTATTACTGTAATAATCCTACAGTTAAAAATATTACAAATACATTTATTATATTTCTAAAGATGCTATTTCCCATCTTTGTTTACCTTATTCTATAATGAAGTTTTAAACTTTTCCACCTACTTTTTTTCTTCTTTCGTTCAGCTTCCATTGTCTGTTTTCAAAGTGAGAACAAGTTTTACTTTAAAAATAAAAGAGCTTCGATTGAATGAATTTATCATAACAGGTGCAAGAGAGATAAAGAGAGTCCTTCCTCCCACCACAGCATCAAATTGTTTCTTAAGTGTCCTGGCCTCAACCACCCTTCCTGGCAATCTGTTCCAGTTATTAATTACCATCTGACTAAAGAAAAACTTCTTGGTGCTGTCCTGAAATTGCTCTGGAAAGAGCATCTCAGAACATAAAGTGCGTCTCCTACAGAGAACTCCATATATGACCCACTGACTTTCGAGACCTGATTTTCAAAATGATCTCCAGTCAGCTGAGTCCTTGCAGGTTAGTGAAATACACAGAGTTTCCTGCAGAAGATATCTTGAGATGCTTCTTCTGACACAAGATGCCATTTACTTTCCATTTTAATGTTAAGTGCTTCTTAATCCCAGTGAGTGTTCTTAGGCTACTCCACAATAAACAAGTCTATCACAGGTAATCTCAGGCTTCTCTCAACCAACATTGGATTTTCCCCTTTTTAAGTGAAATATAATAATTTAAACTGTAATAACATAATAATAGTAATAATCCTTGCATTGTTATAGATCTTCTCATGCCTGAAGGATGCCAGATTCACAAGGTTTCCAGCAAACTGGAGTGATTGTGTTTTGCAGTAGTTTAACATCTCCCCTCCCCCCCCGCCTTCAACTGAATGTAACTAACTAACCATGATCTTGGGACCCTTTCTGAGGGTTAATTTCCACCACTGACTTAGAATGAGAATAACCTTCTTCCTCTTGGTCTTAATGGCTTAATGCCACAAAACATGGTACACTTACCTACCAAATAATCAGGTAGCCTCGGTTATCTCTTATTTTTCATGAGTTAACACTATTTCAGTGCACATTATAGGGTATTTCTAGTTTCCCTCCTAGTGTCAGTTCATTGAAATGAGCTCTCCAGTGAAGCAATAAATAACAGTAATCCAGGTGAGTTGCTTCTTTATGGACTGAATGCAAAAAACAGCATTTGCAATCTTTATGATCGCAAAAAGCAGGCTTTGCAATCCTTGCCTGCGGGCTAAATTAGGCTAAACTAACCTTGCACATTGTGTGCTTCCTTAGCAACAAACAGGCGCACAGCAGATTTCCTGCATAGTCACAGCATTCAAGATGATAAATCTGAACAAAGAAATATATGGAATGAAAGAGTTGCTAATGGTACTTCCTGAATGAATGAAAGCAAACTGGTTTCTTACTGCCTTTTCCTGAAGAAGCAAAGCTAATCCTACCCAGGCCTGTGTGGAATGTCACATATCTGGCCTCGCTGGGGCAAAGGCATATGACAAGGTTAGATCAGGATGTGTACATGATTTCCTATAAACAAGGACACGATGAAATTCCAATTTCACAACGACACGCTAAACTACTAACTGTTGTTAAAGTCCTCACGAGTGAGCAGATTTTAATATCAAGTACAGTGATAGGCTAGAAGCAGATACCCTGATCTGTAAAAACAAACAACTTGCATTTATATAGCATTCTTCAGCATCTCGGAACACTGAGACATGCAATTATTTGACGTGCATTGTCTTTAATAATAAATCTTCCATTGATATAGCATCTTTCACGTCAGGAGGACATCTCAAAGTACTTCAATAGATTTACTGTAAAGTGCAGTGTCTACCTAAAGAGGCAGACAGGACCTCAGTTTAACGTCTCATCTTGAAGGATGGCACCTCTGACAATAGCTCACACCTCCAGCCCTGCATTGGAGTGTCAGCTGAGTCTGCAAGTTCAAAGTCACAAGATGGAGCTTGAACCCACAACCTTCTGACTCAGACGTGAGAGTGCTACCAACTGAGCCACGCTGGCAAAATACTTATAGCGAAGTATTAAAGAGTTGCTATATTTCTTCAGAAATTTGCGTAAGTCAGATTTACATTTGAGTCGAGACGAAGTTTGTTTATTCAGAAAGAGTGACACACAGTACAGATCAGAGCTGCCTCTCTCAGAAGAGTGGACAAGTGCCATCTACTGCCTTATTAGAGGATAATAAGATCTGTTATAAAGCTGGTGTCATCATCTCTGTGGCTGAAACAAAGTGTCACTAAAGGCTTGTTGGGGAGGTCAATGTACTTCTGTAATGTCAAATAGTTTTTTTAAAAAAGGTGCTCTCTGGATTTTTTATTTTTTAGCAAAAGAGCAGTGCTTGCAATAATATATTTCAACACCCCTGCATTGTGTAACGAAAGAAGGAAAAGTTTGCCAAACACTTTATTGTGTAAACAATGCCCCTTTAATTTACTCTGTTTGCTACACTTTTGATGCAATAATGTTAGATAACTGGTGTCAATAAGTGATGTTGATACAGTATTAATACGTTCATTGTTGTTGTCTCAGGGTTTCTTAAATGTAATAGATTGACTCGATTTGAAGCAAATAGGTTAAAAATAATAAAAGCATCAAAACACTGCAGCATCAGACACATTCAAAGCGCTCTGAGACGCCGTCTGGCGTGGAGAGCGCTATATAAATCCAAGTTGTTGTTGTTGACACTGCAATTAAAGGGCTGTGAAGCTGTTGTCATTTTTCCCTGAGAAACTTGTCTTATTCATTTGTAAGCAATGGAAATTTCATATAGTTTATGTTCTTTTATTTTTCTGATATGGGTTGGAAATGATCACGTTAAGTGCTCTATCAATGGGTCCATCTCAGCATTTACACAGGCCATGGTTTTAAAGGGGCACCGAACTTTGTGAAAAGTAACAAACTTTTTTTCTTTCTTATTAGGGTCGTAAACACCAGAAGGACCACATGTCATTTTTGTCACATACATGATCATGGGTATCAGTGCAATTTATATATTTTCTTACGTGTTCATTAACACACAGAAAAAGGTTCACCAAACATTTCTGATTCAAGACTGTGGCAGCCCCTTTAAATGAAACAAAATCAAATCTCATAATTCTGCCCTTATTGGCCTTTTAAAATTACATTGATAGTAATAATAATCTTTGTGTTTGATATAATGCCTAATCACGTCATAGAGACATCTCAAAGCAGTTCACAGGATATACTGTAAAGTGGTTGACTGTGTATATTTTGGGTGAAATGCAGCAGCCAGTTTAGACACAACAATGTCCCACAAACAGCCAGTAAGTAAACCAATTTTACTTGAGGATTGTTGGCCCAAACAATTGTGAAAAATTCCGTTCTCTTTTTGACGACTGCCATGGGATCTTTAATGTTCACCTGAACAGAAAGACGGGACATCAGTTTAACATCTGATTCAAGAATGGTGCCTCCAACAATGCAGCACTGCACTGGAGTGTCAGGTTACACTATACAATTCCAAGTCCCGACATGGGGTTTGAACCCACATCCTTCTGACTCAAGAGGCAAGAGTGCTACCACTGAGCCAGGCTGACAACAATAGATAGCACAATAACCTATTTTATACACATCAGCTTTACTGTACTGCTTAAAATGCTCTGTGCAAATTTGGGTAAGATTAAGAATAGTTTTATTTTCCCTTTCAGTTTTAGCTCTGGTCATACGAAACGCACATCCTCATGAATTTTCAACTAACTTGAAATATTACAGAATAACAGCAGTAATGAACCAGGGGTTAGAAACGTAGAAGGTTATGTCCATGTTAATCGGTGCTGTATCTACTCTGTCTCCTGCATTGTGTTGTGTCTTCTATCCGCCCTTGGGCAGCTTTTCCAGTCTTAACTAGGATATCCTGTATAAATATCTTTAATAAATAAACAAAGTTGTAAGATTCTGAAATATCACAGAAACTACTGTACTTGCGCCGAGGCTTTCTTTTCTTTTAATTAAGGAAAAAAACAGCAATACAGTCCACTGGTGAAAATTATGATTGGAATTATATGTAAAGTCTCACTGATAGCCTGAGAAAAGTAGTAATTAACCATTATATTAATTGTGGTGCACAATTCAGTCAGAAAAATCATTACTTCTTGTGGTATCTTGCATATTGTTAAGATTTTAACAAAAGCTACCTACCACGTAATTTATCCACAGTAGCTGCAAATTCCTTAGTAGGTCATTCGTTTTGGACAGTAGAAGGCATAGATAGACTCAGGAAAGATCTTTTTCTGGCAAACCTTCAATCTGCAGACGCACCATAAATCAGGATAAAGAATGTCTCACTGCTTCACTGTCTACGAGGTGTTTCAGAGCGCTCCCTCTTGTGTTATTTCAGCTCTGTTTGCCTGCTGTTCACTCCAGTCAAAATCAACAGTGAGCTTTCTGGTGAATACTGTTGAATTATTCAATCAGGCTCCTGGAGAAGAATAGGGCACGACGTATTACAACAATGTAGTATCAAAACACTAAGAATGTTTGAGTGCAATATTTAGCAGGGAGAAGTGAACTCCCCAGCAGCCGACCAAGCAATACTTATACGTGTGCATCATTTTCAAACGTAACCCATGAAGACACAGAGCATGGAAAACCACAAAATAAATACTGATCCTGAAAGGCATACTGATTATTTTTGGTTTCTTTTCTTTTCCATTTGCAAATACCATGGTGTAACACTGTCTAGTCTGGGCCATTCATGTCTCTTCGGGATTCCTGGTTGTTGTTTTTACACTGCTCAAAATGTGTGTTTCTTCCTTGACTTTTTCTATCCTGGCTGAGAGCAAAATAAAAATGACTCTTGAGTGAATTCAGTCAATGATTTGTACCAGTTGCAGTTTGATGGGAGGGTGGTTTATCTGGAAACTGCTTATTTGCCCAAGGCTGATTGAGATGAATTTGGATGTTTGTTGAGGAGGAGATTTAGAATTCAAGCTGGTTCCACTCAGAAAATGTACCTTGATACAACCTGATCTCTGCACCAATTGAAGCCCACTAATGTGAAAACAGTGAGTCTATTGGTCTTTGTATATGTCTGTGTGGCTCTATAACACTCTCCCTGTTTGTAGATGTCTGTGTGCCTCTGTAATAATCCTTGCATTTGATATAGTGCTTTATCACCTCGTTGTGATGTCTCAAAGTGCTTCCCAGAAGATACTGCAAAGTGACTGTGTGTTTTGTGGGCAAAATGCAACAGTCTCTGTGTTTGTATATGTCTGTGTGTGTCTGCCTCTGTAACACTCTGTTTATTTGTATGTGTGTGTGTATATGTGTGTGTCTCCCTCTGTAACACTCTGTATTTGTGAGTGTGTGTGTCTCTGCCTCTCCAACTCTGCCTTTGAATGCATCACTCTCTGTGCCTTTCTAACTACTGTGTCTTACTATGTATGCATCTGTCTCTCTTTATCTCTCTTATTGTCTGTGTCTTTACATTGTACGTACTTCTTTCTCTACCTCTCTAATTATCTGTGTATTTGTATGTGTGGCCTGTCTAATATGCACTTACGTAGATCTTGTCTTATCACACACTGCCTGTTCAGTTGCTCTATTAAAATTATGACCTTGGAACCTTTTCACACATGCATACAACTGGAAAAAAAATCCCAATATTGTAGCCTGAGTTGACTTATGGATTAGAGGCTGATGTGGATGGTTGGTGTTTTATCATACATAGTAATGTACCTCAACTCCTCTTCCCCACACACATAAAATTGAAACCTCTGGCCATAGTGTTTATAGTACTATGATATTAGCATCCACAATGTGTAAACAGGTGGTGTTTTCTCAATGCTCAGTCTTTACGAAGGAGATTTTGCTCTCTTCGTTGGGGGAGTGTGCAGTGGTCAGGAATCAATGGATCATTTGTGAATAGTACTAAAATCGTTTTGGCACTTTTACTTGTTTGTTTCTGGCCCTGAGCTATTTGGGCTGAGGTCAGTTCAGATTGAACTGAGTCAACAGCTGAAGCCAGATTGGATAATTCATCCCCACGAATACACAATAAACCAAATTCCTGACCCTTTGTCACTCACAACTCCATGTTTGTCCTAGTTGATCCACTTCGAGATAAAATTCAATTCTCTTTGGGTTTGAAAGATGGAAAAAGGTGGTTCACTTGCATAGGAACAAAAACATCCTTCTGGGGACAGGCAGCATCTTTATCTGAGTGTTACCACTGACATGCCTACGTGTGGTAGATATTTGTTTCAATGCAAACATCCTAACATTAATTAATCTGCCACTGTAGCAGTGATCAAGGGATCTGCTGTCTGTGCCTGAAGTCACAACGGCAAATGTGGATAAATATACACTGAATTGTTTTATTCCTGGTAGAACAGTTGAGGATAGGACCCAAGGTCCAATCTCTAATTGTCTAATCCTGGCACTCTGGTGGCAGAATATTATCTGTTTCCTACATTCTCTGGGGTAAAATGCAATATTTATAATAGGGAGTCACAAATATCGTTTGAATCCAGATGTGCATAATGTTAACTTCTGGGAGTTCTGGTCTGGTGCAATCTATTTGCATGATGCACACCCAGAGAATTGTTATTTCCAACTCGAGTTACAGATACAGCAACTTTAAGGTATACCTTTTATCCTTGATTATGTTGGCGAGCCATTCAGTGCCAGGTGGATCAGATTCCTAGTCATGAAGAGCACTTTGTGATAGTCTATTTTTTTATGGGGCAGTGGAGGAGGCAGGTTCTTCATCCAAACCTACCTTGCAGTGGATTTCCCATATAGCCAGTCCCTGCTATCTGGTAATCTTGGATTCCTGCTGCTTTTGGGTTTTAGATTCTTCATTTCCAATATCAGATGTAATGAAGTTAATAGGCTTTGGAGCCAAAACCAACTGCTCACCCCAAGCAATCAACTAATTAATACAATACAAATTTACATTTATATAGTGCCTTTTTACAATGGGTAGATGTCCTAAGATACTGGATAGTCCAGGACTTGCACCTGAGCTGTGTGTGGGGATGAGGGAGGGTGGGGGTGTGGTTGGTGAGGGAGGAAATGGCTGAAAGAAATGTCAAAGAGGATGGTCTTGAGGCGCTCCTTGAAGGAGGTGAGGGAAGAAGTAAGTGGAAGGGAATCTGGGAAGGAGTTCCAGAGAGTGGGGGCAGATATGCTGAAAACCCAACCATCACTGGTGGGGCAGGGTGGGGTGAGGGACATGAAGAAGCCAGTGCCCACTGAGCAGAAGTAGTGGCTGTTAAGATTTCAGGAGGTCTCATAGATAGGGTGAGCAAGTGGAGGGATTAATGGTTAGGGATCTTGATCTCAATCTGTTGGGGGATGAAGAGTCAGTGGAGCCGGGTGAGGATGGTGCGATAGGCTCATGGTGCCTTGTCTGGGAAAGGATACAAGCTGCAGATTTCTGGATCATCCACAGCTTGTGAAGGGAAATGGCAGATAGTCCGGTGAGCAGAGTTGTTGTGATCTAGCCTGGACATGATGAATGCTACAATTACAGTTAAACACTACAATTGCCAGTTGAGCAAATCATCGTCTAATTCTAATATTTGTTCTTACTGTCTTTGTCCAATTGCTGCCTGTAACATCACACCACTCTTCCACTTAAGTGTTACAGTTCTGAATAGGTCACCTCAGTCCTACAGTCAGGAAACCTACAGGAACCTGATGCCGTATGCACTCTTTCCCAGAACCCCAGTACTGTACAGCCAGGAGAAACTTTTAGTAAAATCAATTGCCCATCTGTGGTTGGAACTTCAAACCTGTCATCTTAAAAGAAAAAACACTGTGCCGAGAGAGAAACTGGCCAGGTGCAACAAACATATAACATTTACTCTGACAAGAAATGCCAGCACTTGGCAGACAACCAAAACAAGGTGATTCCTTCCCATGAATTGCTGTGGGGGGTAATTAACATGCTATTTTTAACTCAAACAAGGCAGCGCAGTTCCTTGCAAAAGGCTCAACACTTATATCAGACGTATCAGCAGTCGCGCACTGATCAATGGTATGTTCAGAGTGCAATGCACTGTGATTAAGGAGCAGACAAACTGGGCCACCAGGACTGTTATGTGCTTGGCTGCAATACACACCACGAGCTGTAAATAAACCCACAGTCCCCATAAACGATGCCATCTGCTATGTATTGGCCGCTCATTGGAAAATTATAAACTTTATATGTACATAAAGCATATACTGTGTCAGCCTCTCCATCTAACGTGAGGGCTGCTCAGGCTGGTAAGATTGGCTTTGAAGGTGCACTGCCCTGATGTTTTCTTTTAAATGATAATCTACCCACAGGTATTGATAATCTACCCACAGCTATTCAATACACTGAGCAAAACACATTTTTTTTTAATTAAAAACACACAAACAAGGCCTATTTAGATCCAAATTACATAGGATCGCACATATTACACAGCATTCTTTTGAAAATAAAGTGGCACAGTTTTCAGCACATATTTACAATTTCCACTGGCTTTGAAGATCATGTTTCCTCAGTGCACTGTGAATAGAAGCTCAGAATAATAGTTGTTGGACCTGGAACAAAGTGCCAAGCAAACATTCGATACATAAAGTGCCGTAAATAAACTTGGCCATTTGGGGGCTCATTCAATTTGAACAACCCTCAGTCATGTACCATTGCTAGACAACAGAATGTTGGAATCAAGCCAGCCCCTGCTGTGGTGGTCTCACTAGTCCGGTCCCTGAGCCAGGCTGGTCTGCGATGATCCAGGGCACTGTGATGACAGAACAGCCAACCTGGCTCATCAGTAGGACTTGGCGTGGCAGAGTGGTTAGGAGGGATCGGGCTGAATCGTCTGTTTTGTTGCTGTGGATTCTATGTAATTCAAGGTAAGATAATAATCTCTCAAAAAAATAATAAATTGGTCATTTCAATCCACGACTGTTTGTGGGACACTGTTGTGCGCAATTGGCTGCCGCATTTCGCCCACAAATATAGTCAATTCACTTTACAGTCTATTCTGTGAAGCACTCTGAGACATCTAGAAGACGTGAAAAGCGCTATATCAAATGCAAGGATTATTAATATTATATTATTATTGTCGCACAGTGAATTCCATCAGACTCTGGCATGTCATGTAATTCCCAACTTCTTCCCAAAGTTATGCCAATTGCAAGTTAGATGCCTTATTTTTATGTTCAGAGCCACAGGAATAAAGACAGTTAGTTTATTTTTATAATTATTTTAAAATACATATTTACAGCTCAGTGGTTTAATGAATGGCTTGCTTGAGGGTTGGTTATAATTAGGTGGATTAATTTTAGGCATTGTAAACACTCTCAATTTTGAGCTGTTAGGTTGAAGTCTGGATTGAAGCCTCCCAACTGCAGCCCACAGTTGAATCATTGAATTATACAGCGCAGAAGGAGGTTATTCAACCCATCGTGTCCTTGCTGGCTCTTTGAGAAGAGCTACCC